ATGTTTTCGTAAATAAAAACAAAATATGTCGCAAGGTGCAGCATGAAAAGCCGTACAATCTGTATAGGCAATAAAAATGTGAAACAAGAACAAAGAAATTTCTCGTTCATGTTATTTTTTCGCAATGTTGAAATTTGATCGCTCAAAACTTTGTCCATTTTCAGAGCAAAATGTGCAACTATCAAAAAAGCGATCTTATGTAAATTGTAGAGCTTGGCACGCTGCATCTTGTGATATCTTTTGCTTTTTTTAATACAACTTATTAAAGGATTGAAAATTGATACACAAAACGTGACCATTAAACCTGTTATGTGTTATATTAGAAATCGCGTATACCTAGGACAAAAGAAATGATAGACTACAGCAAAGCACGAGACTTAGAAGTCTGAAATTTTGCACATAATCTTAAGTGTCTCTGGGCATTATAACGGTATAGTTAGTTCTTGGTCAAGTCTTTTAAGAGAGCCGGGCGAAAAACTTATGAAGTGCCCTATGTAAATGGAACACCGATAAAAACAACTATTATCGAGCATTAACGATAATATAAGTACTCACCTATTAAATTACTTTCGATTTCTAACAGTATTTACTGCAATGCGAACCTTTATCTTGCTTATATTCAACTAAATCGCGTGTATATATTGTAGTTGTTGGCTTTAAGAGTAGGAGTCTGTGAAGCTTTGCACATGACTTCATCGCAAACGAGATGCAAATTTTGCAAAAGATAATATTTGGACGATTGTGAGAAAATGGGCAACTGTTGATATTGTTTTCACAATATAGACGAATGTTCTTCTCCTCACACTTATCTTTAAGATACTGATAGCGTTCGTTTTATGCGCGAACACTAACCGTGTTCTTCGCTCTCTAACTTTATTCTTAAAAAGCAAGGGTATATATATGAATAGTGACAACAAAGAAGAAAAGAAATATAAATGTTAATCGAGGTGAAAGAAACGAAGTAATCGAAGTAAACGATAATATAGAAGATATCGAAGAGAAGAAAAGAAAAGAATAGAAGGATCGAGGTACATGTTATAGTAATACACTGTAACAGATACTCATGCATTTGAATTAAAAAGTAAACAAGGTTGTTTCTCGGATTTAAATTTAAATGTAATAACTACATATAATGACGGATATATTTTTCCAAGTCGCTCTTGTGTTTTTGCAAATATTTTGGATAAAAAAAGATGTGACTAATGACTTTCTGTTCGTCTGTACTTTATCAAATATTCGTTGGAAATGCACACAATAGGAAATGTTATAGAACAGATTCGAAGTAACAAGAAAACCACCTTACAGTGTCGCTAAGTCAATATTCGACGTCATCAACTTCTTTTTTTTCTTTCTTTAACTTCATATTTTTGAGAACAGAAGTGCATACAGCCTGCCACTATCACATAGGGTGGGGTGTGGGGTGTGGGTGGGTGTCGTGTAGATGTGTGAGGATGTGATTGTGTGAGAATGTGGGTGTGGGTGTGGATGTGAGTGTGTGAGAGCGTGGGTGTGTGAGGGTGTGGGTGTGATTGCATGTTATTGTAGCCCACACCCACCCTATGAGAGAGTATCTTTTCGACCTATATATTATGTTATTATTAAGTACTAAGAGTATGGTGACAGATTAAATTTATTCGTTCAAATGCATCATCATATGAACAACTGAGATGACCAAAACATCTAGTTAATTACGAAACAATCATTTATTTAAATAGAGTATATTCAAAATCTTAAGTGGTGTTTTAAAGCAATTAATAATCATTTAAAAGGTATGAATATAAGATGTTATTATAAAAAATAAGCATTAAAATATGTCGATAAATATAGTGAAGAAATTCCAACTAATAAACATTATATTACGTGTTATGACTGCAGTGTTCCCCTCCAGTCATAAGACGGAATGAAGATACTATTTCTAGTACAGTGGTTAATGCGTCTGCCTGGAAAGCAGGAGGTGCATGGTTCGATTCCATGAGAAGGGGGATTATTTTTCTCCGTTCTGTCGTCATCGTAGTGATAACAACTTATAACATTACTTTGTCACTGCTAGTTAGAATGTTAGCTTGCCTTTCTTTATTGGAAAAACACGAAGTATATATATAGGAAGGGAAAATTGGACTAGTCAGGGAAGAAGTTGAGTTTCTTCGTCTGATTGAAAATGAACAACAAGTAGAGTTACAACAAAAGACGTCAGTGAAGAAGAATAGGTCAGACGGGTAAGAACATTTAGTAACAACTGAAGAAAAAGAAATATGAAATCATCCATATATCCTAACACTGCTGTCTCAAACTATAATTTCAAAACTGTTGTTCATCAAATGAAGTGATTCCGTTAAGTAAGCAACATACTTGAACCAGTATATTAAAGTACATTTGAT